TTGGCATAGTCACTTCTTTCCCGACGTAGACACCCACTAAGAACGGATTTTATAAACATCACATTTTAAGGGGGGGAAATTGGGGGAGAAAGTGTGAAAGGGGTATCGAATTTTTTAAAGGTAGGAACTTGAAAATTGGAATTGTTGCTACTCATCGTAAATAAATAATGACGTAATACAAGGTTTTTGAATTTTTTATTTTAAGGGGAAAATGGCGGTGAACGTTTGTATGGGAATATAGAATTTTTTATAGATAGGAACATAACAATTGTAATTGTAGCTACTCATTATAAATAAATAAATAAATAAATAAATAAATAAATAAATAAATAAATAAATAAATAAATAAATAAATAAATAAATAAATAAATAAATAAATAAATAAATAAATAAATAAATAAATAAATAAATAAATAAATAAATAAATAAATAAATAAATAAATAAATAAATAAATAAATAAATAAATAAATAAATAAATAAATAAATAAATAAATAAATAAATAAATAAATAAATAAATAAATAAATAAATAAATAAATAAATAAATAAATAAATAAATAAATAAATAAATAAATAAATAAATAAATAAATAAATAAATAAATAAATAAGGACGTATTTAAGAGTTTTTGGATATTTACATTTTAACCTCCTTAAAATTGGGAGTAAAAATTTGTAGGGGATATAGATTTTTTAAAGGTAGGAACTTGAAAATTGGAATTATAGTTACTCATCATAAATAAATAATGAAGTATTTAAGGGTTTTTGGATTTTTACATTTTAAGGGGGGAAATCGGTGTGAACATTTGTAGTATTCGATTTTTTAAATGTAGGAACTTGAAAATTGGAATTGTAGAGCTATTTATCATAAACAAATAATGACGTATGTCAGTGTTTTTGGATATTTACATTTTAAGGGGGGGGGATAAATTGGGGAAGAGGGTATGTAGGGGATATCGAATTTTTTAAAGGTAGATATTTGAAAATTGAAATTGTAGCTACTCATTATAAATAAATAATGACGTAATACCCGATTTTTGAATTTTTACATTTTAAGGGGGGAAATTGGGAGTGAAAGTTTGTAGGAGATATAGATTTTTTTAAAGGTGGGAACTTGAAAATAGGAATTATAGTTACTCATCATAAATAAGTATTTCAGGGTTTTTGGATTTAACAGTTCAAGGGGTGGAGGGGGAAATAGGAGTGAACATTTGTATGGGAGTATATTTTTTTAAAGGTAGGAACTTGAAAATTGGAATTGTAGCTACTCATCATAAATAATGACGTATTTTAGGGTTTATGGATTTTTACAATTTAAGGAGGGGAAATTGGGGGCGAAAGTTTTTAGAGGAGTATCGATTTTTTTCAAAATAGAAAACTTGAACATTGGAATTGTAGCTACTCATCATAAATATATAATGATGTATTTCAGGATTTTTACATTTTAAAGGGGAAAAGGAAACGGGGGGTGGTGAAAGTTTGTAGGTATGGGAATTTCGTTTTTTTTTAAAAGTTGGAACTTAAAAATTGGAATTAAAGCAACTCATAAATAAATAATGACGTGTTTCAAGATTTTGGATTATCACATTTTAAGGGGGAGAAAAGTGGTGAAATAAAAATAAATAAAATAAAAATAAATAAAAATTAATCAAAATAAATAAAAATAAATAAATACTACAAATAATTAATAATAAAAATAAATAAAATACAAATGAATAGTACAAATGATTAAAAACAAATAAGTGAAACTTCTTACACCCTGGTATGAAAAATGTGAGGAGTGAATTGATAAAAACTAGTTTTATGTGACCTGTTAGGGAGTCAGTTGCGCATGCAATCTTGTGATATTAGCAGATGAGAGCCGTACCAGAAATGTGGTATAAAATGAGATTCTCAATTAGATTATTATACTTAAATATTAGATTACACTACTTATCTGTAATCTATAATACTATCACATCACATACATATCATAAACACCCTAAAAAATATATTATCCCTCCTTTTTTTTTGTTACTAAAAAATACGACTCCACGCGTGCGAAGCCGCTGGCAACAGCTAGTCATTTTATATGTATAAAAATCCATAATATAAAAGAAAAAAAAAACAATTATCACGGTATATTTCAATGAATAATGGATAATTTCCAGATATTTTTTTAAGATATGTGAAAGTTTTTCAACAAACAAATCACATTTAATGCAATAAGTATTAACATAATATAAATTGGCGACTTCAATAAGATATTGGTTCTTGGAGTAGGCAACGAAAATATGTGAGATCCACTTAATCTTGGAACTAAAACCATAACTTGTTCAAGAAGTAATAGACAATCGATTAGTAAATGATTCTATAAATAACAGAGATTGTTACAAAGATTTTCAAGTATTTGGATGGAAAATTGGATTCGAAAGACTTGCTCGTTAAAACCTCAAGGACGGGACTTTAAAATTGGAATTTTTTAAAAACTTTTGTTACACACTTTCTATGCAGTTTTTTTGCATCTGTTTTCGGTAACCAAATTAAGAATATATATTCAAGTTTGGAACAAACAAAACCAAATAAAGACTTGGGAGAAAGATCGGTTGTAAACTTTGACAATTTCTAACTAAACACCAAGTGTTTTTGTACCAATTTACAAACAGTCTCAATGTGATCGTTGAAAGTGATACCTAAAGTCTTTAAATACACCAAATTAGCAAGTGATCTTACTGCCCCTGGCGAAATCGACAAGTCACTTATATCATCTACAAATCCGCAATATCGTTGATAAAGAACGAAAAAAAAAAAAAAAGTAGGGGTCCTAAATTAGACTCTTAAAGCACTCCTGCTGAGGCGAATAATTATTTCGAGGAGAATACATTATAGGTTACACATTGTTTTCTTAATAACAAACAGGAAATAAATGTAGATCCATGGCACTTATGAATAGAAAAAAATTAAATTTCCGAAAGTCTTTACAAAAAGCAAAGTACCAAGTATGAGGGGCGGAGAGGGACATATGAGAGTTGACGATATTATGGTAGAAATGTACTTTCTTTTTTATAAAAGGTTCTTTTTAGTCCTTAATCACACTGTACACAAATGAACTTATAAGTAGGATACTTAAAATGTCTTACAGCCAAACAGCTTCTATGTAATTACTAATCTACAAGGGTTAAAGATTATCTACATTTTTATATTTTCTCAAATGTAACCAAATCAATATTTAAATATATAAGTAGGTAGGCTATTAAGATCTCGTCAATTTTTATGTGGGCACATTTACAATGATACGAATATTCTTTAGTATTGTATTATTTCTTGCTGCTCGTGTGGGTGAAAAGAAACTATAATTTAAAAAATAGTAAAAAGTATTTGCCTATATGGGTAATTCTACTTCTAAACTGTTAATATTGGTTACCACAATGTTTATTTGCGGCATAGAAATTCGATATTCGTGGGCAATGAAAAATAAACACTCGATATTTCATTAACAAATTCAATTAAATCTTTTTTTAAATGCCGTAAAGCAGCGAATTTGAGATTTTATATTTAAAGTTGAATAAAAAAATGTAGTTTGAGCTATTCCATTCACAAATTGCTTCGGATTTGTAATGAAGAGTTAACAGAAACCCTAAAAACAGAATAACCTTAACCAGATTAGGAAGCATTACATTAATCTAAAGGATTAAGATTTACACATCATCAAAGGCATCAAGAATGGACAATGATGACCAGTTTGTCAAAAATGTTATCGACAGTCTAGATAACGTCTTATTTGGACCTTTAAGGCAATAGTAACCTCTAAAGTGGAATCGCCATCCCGAGGAGAGTAATTACTATGCTTTTCGTTTGAAAGTACGGTGGTTGTATTTAAGGGGCACTGTATTTGGACCAGATTTTTAGAGACCATTTATTAAGAGTAATAATTGTAATTTATCAATTACTTTCGAGTTCGCTTATACATACTGGTTTGTTAGTTCTATCATTGCACCTTAAGAATAACATAATGATGATTTTAGCAATTAGTTTGTACAAGCGTTTCGATGCACTTTGTTTATGTTAATGGACATCGTTTTTTTGTATTTGTACGACATTAAGATGAGTCAAGAAAGTTGTTTCGAGTTATACATTATACCAAATAATAAACTCTCTTGTTTTGTAACGCAATGAACAATTATATCGCCGATTTCCTTATAAAATTGCATTTTAAATTATGTATCACTTGGTATAGTTCAATAAATCGATATAGTGCTTATAGAGCTTATGATCTTTAAAGTCCCGACGTCGTAAAACCCTAACAGAACCACACTTATTGTTAGATGATACCAATCGGCAACTAATTTGTAGCTATATAGCAGTGAAGTCTTTTCACCGAATTTAATAATTTAAAACGGATTAGAGCTATGGGGCCGCTACACATTTTAGACACCAACCAGCATTCAATAACGTTTAATAAAATATTTTACTCAAAAACACTTTTTCTAAATTTGCTAGCTGTTTCCGCTACCGAAGGTCAGGTCAAAGCGTTGAGTGATATAAACAGTAAATAAGGGTAGAAGCATTTCTATAAAAAGCATTCCAAAAACGAACAGCTACAATTTCAAAAACAATAATAAATAATAAGTGGATTGATTCGAGGATACTATAATTTGTTTTTGTACACAATTTTTTATTGGAAACCGTAGGTTTTGTAATTTCATCACCTCGCTATTGTTTGTTATTTTTTAATCTATGAACTCCATCGACCGACTCTAATTAGTTGACAAAATATTAAAATAGCTGCTGAAATAATAGAAATAAACAATAAGTATACTCAATATCTTGACTCTTCCTCTACTAATATTAAAGCCGAACTCTCATAAGCTTTTACACTATATCGATTGCTTCACCTATACTTTCCATATTTAGATTGTATTGGTTGTTAAAGAGATAGAAAGGAATAAAAATCGACCTGTTTTTGCGATTTTTTTAAATTCTGCTTCAAGATATTCAATCTGTATATTGTGTTTCATTTTAGGTATCTCAATGACGGAGGGAGCAATAAGATGTTACAAATGCCTTGCGGTTACACCACCTTATTACACCAATGAAACAATAAAACTGTGTAAAGACTTTGACTATTCCGAAACATTTATTGTGGATTGTCCATATTCGACGTACTGTATGAAGAGGTTTACCAGTGCCAAAATACCTAGTAAGAAAATGCAAACAATAAAAAGTTATTAACGACACATTCACCATCTATTTAAATCGGCTATACTCAACCTTTTTTTTTCCTTCGGGTCACATATACAGATTTGCTATGTTCCACGGCCGCAACATTTTTGGTTGATGACTTTTTTAAGGGCCGCACAGAAAAGCTAATCGGGCAGCAGGTTGAGTATGGCTGATTTAAATGATGCCCAGTATGTCTCTATAATTTTCAAGCTAAGCTAAGATTTAATAATAAAAACTCTGGAAGAATATATTGGAATTATTTCAAGTAGTCTGGTCAATAATAAAGATCCCAAGAGAAATATTTTATTTTTTCTGTACTGGGTGATCAAATAAGAAAGGACGTCAGTTATACCTCATTTTTATATTTTATTGGGTAGTCACACAGCTCTCTTTAGCTGTCACTGTGAGGTTGATAGAGACAGATCTTATAATGTGGAAGATTATGCAAAGAAATGAATTTTTAAACGGAATATAGTTTCTTAAATCAACATTTAATCAAAAACAAGTTTGGAGCGTCCATTAATTACGGTGAGGTGTTCAAGGACGGGAGGGGATCAAGCTAAATCTTTCTAAATCTCATTTAGTAGAAAACGCTGTAAAATTGCGTGAAAGTAAAGGTAAATTAAAGTAAAGAATGTTTCTAGAAATTTTATATTACGGCAATATTCTCAAATATTAGTCTTTGCTAGTCTTAAATAAAAGTAATAATACATAATATTGTGTTTTTGTTTTTTTATTAATCCAACGCATTAGGGGAGGGGGGTCTTACGAAACCTCACCAAGGATGAGGGGGGGGGGTCAAAAAATCCTCAAAAATACGTCACGTAATTAATGGAAGCCCCCTTTGATATTACTCCACCACCACCCCTTTATTTTAAGGAATGCATTTTAAAGCTACATTTTCGAATGTTAGGAACCTCCTTTGCATAGCCGGTTTAACCCTTTGTTAAGACTTATTATGTTATCAACATTTAAAACTTATATATATTTCTGTTGAAAATTGATGGTACATATTTTTTGTGGTACACATATGTACCACTCAGGGAATATGCCAAAATATTTCCTAATCATTTGTTACAAAAACATAAAAGTTCAATTCTCCAAAAGGAAAAAAATATTATTAAAAATATAGCACTTTTTGTCAAGATAATTGAGTTACTAAAAACTCAAAAGTCCTAGGCTCTTTCTGGTACAAATATGTGCCATATTTTAACAGGGGGCGCTAAATGCAATCATGGTAAATATTTGTACATAAAAGTGCAACCTTAATCGATGTTTCAATCAAATACAATGGGAAGATGATCCATACTATCTATGGTACATAATATATGCAACAGCACCCGTTAAAGGGTTAATTTTTTGACAATATTTCAATTACAAATTAATGCCTCCTAATCAAATATGATTTATGTGTGGATCTATGTCCTTAGGAATTGTATATCTTTTGTTTTAGCTGTGATAAATGGAACAGAAAGGGACTGTGCTAGTCAGAAACAAGTGATTCAAAACTATAAAAACGGCCAATGGCACAAGGAAGTAGAAATAGAGGAACCATACAAAGCGGGATGTTCCAAAGTCAATGACAAGGGGGCGCGGACATCAACTATAGAAAATTGTTACTGCAATACTGATCTGTGTAACACAGGAAGTTATTTGCGGTCTAGAATAGTAGGATTTTTTGCGGCTGTGATAGTTTTTATTGTTTTCTAAAATAAATACTTTTTTTATTTGTAGTAGATATGAGTGCTACCAAAATAGTGTGTTCAAAATTTATTTTATAAATATGATTTTCAATTATTATACCAGGTATAATAAACAGGCATAATATTACAATCAACTTTTTAATTTTAATATATTTGCAAATGCAAATACTGATAAAATATATTTCCAAAATGTAGTTTAATTTAATATAAAAGAGAAAATGAATTAATAGTAGTTTACAAATGTATATATTTAAAATTTTGTGGTCTTATGATATAAATCATCAGGTTACTACTAGTCACAAATTGTGGTTTTTATATTTATAAAAGACATTGCAGGAACATTCATTTTATAACTCGATACATAATTTCTTGACAATGTATTTTAGTTCATTATTATAAGTAATATGTAATTATTTGATACTTTCGAAACTACCTCGATGATAGTTTTTGATTACAGGAAAAACCAAATATTTGGTGATTTTTACATATAAATATAGGGCAAAATATGTCAATACCTTATGAAATAAAAATATAGAAGTGCTAAATTGAATCTTTTGAAAAAATATATATTTTCAGAATTACTCAAGAAAATTTTACAAATTGCAATGTGAAAACTTGATTATTATGGTTTTGATTACATTTGATTGTATTCACTATAAATGACTGTCACCTTGAAATTTGTAAATACAATTTTATAGATATGAATAATAAATAAATACAAAAGTAGTGTTTTATTTTTGATCTAGTATCTAGTAGGTAAGTTGGTACATTATGAGGATGAATTAGTTGTTTTTTTATAAGTTAAGCATAGAGTTAGATTTTGTATAGGGTCTGAGGCACCATATACAGATATATCCAAGCACAGATATGGACCATGGGTTATAACAGATACACAGGGCGACCTGGACCAGTCAGATGTGTATAAAATGTATTCACAAAGTGCTTAACGTGTTAATATATAAAAATATAAGTAGTACCTATCATACGAAATTATGATTACTTATTTAAAAAAAAATGGGATGCTTATAAGAAGTTTTATTATTTTGTATACGTTGTATACAGGGTGTTTATTAATTGAGTGCCTATACTTAGGGGTGTGAATCTTGGGCGATTTTAAGAAGAAAAGTTAATCAACATAGGTCCTAAATCTCTTAATTTTTGAGCTACAGAGTGTTATAGTTTTAAGAAAAAATAAGTTTATAAAAAAATCTGGAATTTTGTACACACCTTTTAATCATTTTTTGACGTAAAATATTTTTTAAATTTTTACCAGTGACATTCGTACGGTGTTTGAATTGAATATTTTTCAAGAAAAAAAAATGGTACGCCACTGCTTTTTCTAAAAACCAATTTTTTTTAGAAATCCTCATTTATTTTGCAGCAAATTTGATCGATAGACTTACTTTCGCACGACGCACGTTTTTGCGTAAAACAAATAAAAAAATATTTTTCTTAAGTTCATTGAAACTACTTTTGATATTTTGTTGAACTTTGGTAGACACGCACCATGCGTGGAAACACTGTTTTTGGGACAAAAATTAATTTTCTATTTCCACCAGTGACGTCTACGTAGGCATGATAATGAATTAAACTATTTTGTATTTTGTAATTTTATAATATGCATTTTTTTTGTAATTTTACTGACTAGCCAAAAATGTTTGTTTTCTAAGGCAAATAGAGATTATTATTATTATTATTATTATTAATGTTTGGATAGAAAAAAATGGTGCGCCTTTGATTTTTTAAATTCTATTTTAAAAATTTAGTAAAACGTTAAATTTTAAATCTCAAATCTAGAGTGAAATGACAAGAGAATACAAACAAAATAAAGAAACCAAATTATTTACATTAATTGTTCGAAGTGTCCTCCACCCACATGTATGCAAGCATCTACTCTTCTTCTCATAGACTGGCGCACATTTTCAAAGATTCCTGGTGTGTTTCTTATTGTTTGGCAGCATACTATTATACGATTTCGTAACTCTTCTTCAGTTTGAATCGGCACTGCATACACTAAGCTTTTCAGATGCCCTCAGAAAAAGTAGTCACATCTGGTTTCTTAATAAAAGAGGAAGGTCTTTAAGCATTGGCGGCAGATCTTCTTCAGGTAAGTGTTAATATGGCAGAAAAAATGGGCCTATCAAATAATTATCAATAATGCCAGCCCAAACAGTTACTGAGAACTGTTCTTGATGATTTGATTTAACAATTGTATAAAGGTTTTCATCCGCCCATAAATGGTTATTATGGAAATGTATTATTTAGTTTCGAGAAAAATTAGCTTTATTGGTAAAAAGAATGTGCCCATCAGATAACGGATTTTCCAACAGGTTTTGAAGAAACCACAGAAATTAATTCGCAACTGTAAATATTTAAGGAGTAATGCCTGGACTATTTGAATGTGATATGGGTATAATGATGAGAATTTTCCAAACAAGTACATGTGAAACATAAATGTTACCGCGATTTTCCTCTTGCTAGTTTGGGGGTTCTCCTCAATTTCATGTACAATTCCTTCTTCAAGTTCCGTTGTTCTTACTGTTTGATGGACTCCTTTAGCCCTTTTAAAGTTCGGTCTTGCGAAGACGTCTATGAATCCTAGAAAATGTTCTCGGATCGGGTAATAAGTGATTTGGATTGGTATACCAAGATGATTCTTGGTATATCCGCCTGGCTTCGTATGCATTTCCGTCTGCAAGCGCATAAGTAAAATGCATGTCAGCATTGACAGCTAATTCACTGTTTGTAAAATTTACCATTTTTTATCAAATTTTACCTCTTACTCTAATAATAATAATTATTTAATAATGTAAAATCAATTTAACTTTATTGTCTTTGTGAAAAGAAACGTAAAAATTATGACGCTTTACTTAGCCTACTAATTTTTATTTCATTTGCTTTAAGAGGGCATTTAATTTGCTTACCGTTTTTTCTATTCAAATATTCAATATCATGCCTACCTGAATGTCATTTGTGCAAGTAGAAAATTAAGAAATATTTCCAGGCATTTCAACAAATTATCAAAAGCAGTCACAATGAATTTAAGGAAAAAAATCTGACCATCCACAAAAATGGTTTTTTTTTTAAGCGAAAGCAAGACTATTGACCAAATTTGCTTTAAATGAGGATTTCAAAAATAATTTTAATTTTTAGAAAAAGCAGTATCGTACCTATTCAGTTCAAACCCCGTACGAGCGTCACTGGTAAAAATTTAAACGAATGCTCCTTAATGATTAAAAGGTGTGTACAAAATTTCATAAAAATATCTGGAGTGATAAGAAAATTATGATTAAAAAATTATTTTTTTCTTAAAATTGTAACACCCTGTAGCCCAAAAATTAAGAGATTTACGTCATGTGCTGATATTAACTTTTCTTCTTAAAATCACCTAAGGACTTCACCCTTAAGTATCGACACTCAATAAACACCCTATATGTGTGTTTGGTAATTTTAAACCAAAATAATTAATCAATCCTATGTAGGTATTCAAAAAAAAGTTTATAAAAAATAATTGATATAACAGATTATTCATTTACTATTTTTTTTTATGATCTAATTTATGACATAAATTCCTTATAATTAATTTTACTTTTACCAAAACTTTGAAGATATAAAAATGGTTTATTTGTCAATAAATAAGTTAAAGGACAAGGCCATTATACTTATTTTGTAGAGTTTAAGAACAAACCGGATCTCTTGTGGGAACAAAAATGTATTAAGGATTTTCTAATATAAAATAGTATTTGTAAGCGCGCCACTAGGGATACTTCGTGATATTATGTTTCTCAAGAACATAGGGATCTTTAAATTTTTTTAACGATAATGCAACAGTCTACAGAGACGTTTGAGAAAAAAAGTGGGAAATCATCCAATTTAAAAAGTACTAGATATTTATTAAAACAGAAAGCAGCAAATTTTCATAGATTTAATACAGAATGGCATGATAATGAATTAAACTATTTTGTATTTTGTAATTTTATAATATGCATTTTTTTTGTAATTTTACTGACTAGCCAAAAATGTTTGTTTTCTAAGGCAAATAGAGATTATTATTATTATTATTAAATTTTCATAGATTTAATACAGAATGGCGTATAAATGTAATTTCCTCGGTAATTTCTGAAATTCCTTTCAAATTTTTTCAAAATAAATACTTTTCGGAGGTTTACAAAATATTCAAGGTTTCTCCACCTTAAGTTTTATTATTCCTATTTCACAAGAATCGGACTGAAAATAAAGGCTCAGAAGGAATTATCAATTTTCATTTTTCAAAGTGTTCGGTTTGCTCTTAATACTGAATATAATACTTAACCATTTCCCAAATTTACAAAGAAATTTAATATTAATTGTACGATTTTATTTTAATTTAAAAAGCATGGCCTAATTTTGTGTAGACTTCATTTTAGATCTTGTCAAATACAATCAAATATATTTTCTAAAGAGTTTGTTGTCCAATAAATTACCTACCTGTAAGAAATTGAAAAAAAAAAAAACAATAATAATATTGGTGATTTCCGAGGTGATTTCATATAATATATCTCACTGACAAATGATTTTAAGAATAATAATTGTCTCCCCAAATAGCCTCATGTAGAATTAACTTTGTTTGCTTCTAGCTTTTAAATAAATAAAATTATTCAAAAGGCAAGATGCACCTATATTATGTAAAAATAAAAAATAATAATTTATGAAAATAAAAAATATTTCCTAGCTAGCAACAAAGCTTTCAGAATATTCCTACTTTTAAAATAAATTAGAAGCATGAATTCAAAGAATAGAAGGTTGGGCAGCGGCCCAGCTTAGCAGGTTCACTAATTGTGTATCGATATCTGCAGTCAAGCCAAGCCCAGCGCAGTTAGTATTTGGATGGGTGACCAATACAATGAAAGTCAGCTTACTTCAGAAAACAAACTGCTCACTTAGTTGCATACCACAGCAGACAGACATTATATCAATGAGTACGAGGTACCTATAGCTTGGGGTGTGCCATCTTTTCAGAGGAGATGTAAAGCCATCGATCCCGAGATGGTGGGTGGGGTTTTTCTCACTTGCATGTCAAAGGGCGCCATCAATCATCTTTAAGTCGCCCTGGAGCGCCACGGATAATAATAATAATAATATCCATCCCTTCCCCTACACAAGTCACTCAGTCAACCTCAAGGGTTGAAATTTACTCATAAGGGGGCGAATAATAATAAATAATACTCTCCTAGTATTATTTATCCAACCTTTTTCATAGAAATAATTACCGTTTTCCCTCTTCCATCCTTACATCTACCAGTAATGTAATTTGTGATGGTAAAGTACATTTCATATTTATCTTACACACGTGTTTTGTAATATTAACCAGTGAAAATTGTATTTACGATAGAAGCCTATAGGCTTTTACTAAAGTTAGTGTTAAAAAGTATAATAAAAACACTTACCTTGGAAGAGTTCTCAACCAAACACAAGAAAACAACATCTTCTCTCTGCAATCTCACAGCTGAATGTAGAGGCAATTGAGTCTTGTTTTTCAACATTTTATACAACAGAGGTCCTGACATATGGTCAAAATCAGTAGAATTCAAATCATCCCAATGAGTAGAAATCAAACCAGAACAGTACTCTCTCAAATTATCCGCTTCTATTTCTTCAGCAACAGAATAGAATTTAACACATGATCTAATATTAACGACGGATATTAGGAATTGTTCACAAAGCTCTACAAGATTGTCTAACTTAAATTCATGAGCCTTTTTGATGAGTTTCAGGGTCAAAACTGATGAAGATAGATTCAAATTGTTAGTATAAATCCATAAAATTATAGAATTAGCTACTTCAGGATCTATATCAGACCAATCTAGATCTGTTTTGTTGTTCAAGGCATTATCACTCCATATATTTAATCTAGCATTCAAAATTAGTTTATGGGCATTAATTTCTCTGTCTTTAAGCTTTATTTTTATATCACTGTACGTTTCTGAATCGTATAGATTGTTAATTAACTTTAATAGTCGAGAAGCAAAAGTGTCTTCTGCATTTTTGATGTCTGAGGCTACCAAATTGTTGTATTTATATTCTATTTCTCTATATTTGATTTGCAGCTTGGAATATTCTTGTTTCAGAAGCTGCAAGTGCTGCTGAAGTTTCGCTGCTTCAGAAGATTGAGCTGTAAATTAAAAAAATGTGTAGGTGCACACGCAATTTTAAGGTAATTCTAATTGTCAATGAATGGAAACTAAATAGTTAAAAATATTAGGGCGACTTACCCATTATGGTTGAAAACAGAAAATCATTAATTAAATGATTATTAAAGTTTTATTATTGTTTTCTTTGAACCGCCCCAAAAAATACATAACCTCTTTTTTTAGTTGACATGGTTGACATTGATAAGTATGACATTTTTGACTTTGACAACTAATGCTACGTTTACATAAGAGTTTTCAATTCCGACTTTAATTCAGGGAACCTCAAAACAAAGATCCGCCGAAAACATGAGATGAAAAAAATTGTGATTCCTATATTTACTGGAAAGTAAAATATTCAGAAAATTATTTCAAGGTGAAAAATGTAAATACAATAAAAATGTATGTATGAAGTAGAAAACATGAAAAAACTTAACTACAGTAAAAACTATTCTAAACATTCTAAACACCCTTACCTAGTAAGGTATCAATTAAAAATATAGCCAAACTTATTTTTTTTTAAATAAGGGACCAAGGGTCCCTGGTTCGAATCCCACGGTTGGCCGGGATTTTTTTATTAATTTAATTATTTAAAATTAATTCTGATGCCTTGGTGTAGGATTCCCCACTCGACCATTCACTGTTGGGTTCTAATTAACAGTGCTGTTCCTAAAGTGGCACAAGGAAACAGTAACAAGGCCTGTCTGTGGGGGTGTAGGAGTATTAAATACTCCTACACTATGGAGTATTAGACTACTAGTACAATCCATAACCTACATAGAACACTAGGCTAATGACCTTAGATGAAAAAAAAAAAAGATAAGGACAAATACACTAATTGTATTTTCAATAATTCAATAAAAATAGCTATTTCCTACGACCACTTAGGAAAGTGACACATATCACACTATATAGTCCTATGGAAAGTGTCCTATATCACACGCGTATGACTAAGAATTTACTTTCCACCCAAGTGAGAATATGTTACTTTCCGCAGTAGTTGTCAAAAAATGTCAAACGCCTAATTTCTATTTTGATCTATGTAATGTCCATATTAATACTAAAATCGATATGATTGTTAAATTATTGAAATTGTTTTAAATTAGATCCTAGATATTTATCTTTAACAATTATTATTAAAATAATTTTAAAATAACTAAGATTATGTTTGCTCTTTAATTTGGGTAAATACATAACCGATTAGATCATTCAATTGATGTAAGCCCCATTAGCTCAGTTGGTTTAGACGTCGAACTTATCAACTTTGCCATTTTTTGACCGCGTTCAATCTATGGTTCAAATCCTGGCGGAACCGAATTTTTTTTTTTGTTTTTTTTTTATTTTTTATTATTTTTTTTTGTTTAGAAAATATGAAAATTGAATAAATACGATTATTGTTGATTATTTTTTTAAATACATTTTAATTAATATAGTAATAATAACCTTGGTTTTACATTTTTTTGATATTATTTTGTAAGCTAATTTCTATTTTGATCTATGTAATATCCATATTAATACTAAAATCGATATGATTGTTAAATTATTGAAATTGTTGTAAATTAGATCCTAGATATGTATCTTTAACAATTATTATTAAAATAATTTTAAAATAATGTTTGCTCTTTATTTTGGTTAAATACATAACCGATTAGATCATTCAATTGACACAAGGGCTGTTAGCTCAGCTGGTTAGGACGTCGAACTTATCAATTTTGCCATTTTTCGACCGCGTTCAATCTATGGTTCAAATCCTGTCGGGGCAGAATTTTTTTTTTGTTTTTTTTTATTTTTTTTTTATTTTTTTTTTATTTTTTTTTAGTTTTTTTTGTTTAGAAAATATGAAAATTGAATAAATACGATTATTGTTGATTATTTTTTTAAATACATTTTAATTATTATAGTAATAACCTTGGTTTTACATTTTTTTGATGACATTATTTTGTGGTCGTAGGAAAAATATTGTACATCACTTGTGTGAAAAGTGATTTTCCACACTCGTGTGATAGTCGCACTCGGCTTGCGCCTCGTGCGACTATATTTCCCACTCGTGTGAAAAATGTCACTTTCCACACTCGTAATGTAATATACTAATTTCATACTATATGACTTTACTATCATATAATAGCTAATTTTGACTCGATTATTTAAACCACATACTTCGATTTTTCAAAGTATGTTTATAACTATGAAGACTAGAGATAAAGAGGCGAATTGGCATGGGCATACTCAAAATACGGTCCCAAAAAACGAACGCTAATTGAACTTTTCCAATTTACCGCAAGGGTGCTGGTGCCAGTACCGCTGTTCAAAATACATGGCTTCTTATGGTAATTTTACATATTTTGTCAAAATAATAAAAATAAACTTGTTTATAGCTAAATAAAGCACAGAACATACTGTTGTATTTATTTTTAAATAAGTCTTGCATGTTTTAATTGATAAATTATTTAATTTTATTTATATAAAATACAAATTAGGTAGGTATGACCAAATTCGAAAAGGTTTGTTAAATGCTGATTTGTGGCAATTTTTTTTTAAACAAATCTAAATATAGTTTTAAGAGCAAAATAAAACACAGATTTTTTTTATAATACAAGCATAAAGGGAGATTTTGGAATGTACACGGTATTGCCTTCTTCTTTAATTTCGGCCTTCCCCTTTGTATATGCTGCTACTGTTCTAAGCATTTAGGAACCTTTAAAAAAACATTTACAATGACAAAATTAGGGTTCAACAAAAAAATAACAGTAGTACTCTTCATCTAACAGTAAACGCTATAAAAATATTTTTTTTTCTCTAAGTTAAATTTATATTGTAATTATTGTTGTTTTTAAGTCAGGATCTAGGAATGTAAAATTTTATATTACAGAAACTTGTAATAAAATAAACTGCACTCCGTAAGATACGGGTTGTGACTAGTTTACAAAAATATTTTATCTAGAAATAAATACATTATTTTACTTACATTAGAAGCTTTAAAACGACATCTGATTTTACAATCTAGAACGAAGTAAATCTTGCTTTGATATTTTTGTCAATCATGTTACTTGTACTCATGTATTTTTTTCCACATTATTTTGATTTGTTTTTAAATTTTTAAAAAACACTTCATTTTACATTGACTTACATAGAAAATTGACAGAGCTGCCTTTTGACCTGCCAACTACAGCCAATTTCGCGAACTTTATAAAAAAAAGAACGGAAATTTGAAATTTGACCATGCGCTGGTTCAGTGATGATGTAATTATGGTTCCACTGACAATTAAAGTGACAGTAGATTTTTTGAGTGCGTTTTGTTCGTTGTGTTTACCTAAATTATATCGTTTTTTCACTTGTATAAATATATTCCTAAAGTAAGTAGATAACATGCATCAAATATACAATCGTTTAGTTACCAATTTACATACCTTTCAACTATTTTTATGACCTGTAAACAATATTTAGAAATAAACTAAAAACAGTAAGAACGTATATGTCAAATTTATTGATGTTTTTGTTAAAAGTTTGGTTAGAATTAAATGTCAGTGGAACCAAAATGACATCACACTGAACTAGCGCATTGCCGATTCGTCTCCTTCTCTCTAGTCTTCATAATTATAACGTTGTCTAAGTAAAAAATTACTGACATCTAGTTGCATGCAATTGGCTTTTCTTCGCCGAATGTTAGAAACCTCATTCCAGCCAGGCCTTCACATTGGCACAGGACGTGGAATGATGTTTCCTCTTCTTCTTCTCAGAACCTGCACAAAGTTGCTTCTTCTGCCTAGTTACATGATTAACTTCATTCTTCTATTGACAAAAAGAAAATCATATTCATTTATTCTCAATGACTTATTGTAGTACGTTTATATTGCCTATTAAAGTTAATTAGATTTCAAAAAAGTGGGTTATTTTGTCGTGCATCGTGTTTTAATTTTTTTTGTGCTGATTTAGAATGGAAAATAAGGACAAGAACAACATTATTACTAGGTTGTAAGGTTAACCAAATTCTATTTTTATAGGTCAACTTGATCGTTTTTAATATAAATTTTCAATAATAATTAATGATCTATATATACTCGCATTATTGATTTAAAAAACAGGAAAGGTTTATTTTTATTTTTCTTTTCGCAACTGGCGGCATAATTAATTTTTCGAAACCAGTTTCATAATGTTTAACATTATGCAACTGGTTGCGTAAAGGAAATCATTTTGACATCTGCCGCGATTACAAATAATTGGAAAATGTTCATTTTGTGTGCATTAAAAAATTTGTTCTGTTAAATATAGCTATTTGTATACTAAGAGCCAAAAGTAGCACTTTGGCAGTTGATACAGAAAGTCGACACTGCCAAAGGACTTTCTGCTCGAATTACACACAAAATTTTTTCTACGATCACACCGAAATAAAATAAATAATTTAATTTTATTAGAAATGTATTACCTTCTTTAGTTATAATCACAGATATGGGTATGTCTGTGGTTATAATATTGTAGGTTCATTTGACATAAGCCTACTCTTCGAAGAGAAAAAAAAAATTTAGTTTATACATGTCGGTAATTATTTATGAATTAATCATTTAATTATTTACGGAAAATACTGTTGGATGATTTAAAATGTTAAGAAGTCAATTAAAATATTTTAGATTACCCTACATTTTGTTTTAAAATACCGATTAGCTTCCTTTTATTTAATTCAAATGAAAATAGACAAGCGGTTGCCTAAGTTACTTTGGCGCACGTGTGAGCCAATAATGTCAAATAATGACAATTCGCGGGAAACGTCAACTCCGTGGAGTGCATAAAATATGTACTTTACGCATGGTAGTAAAAAAATATTATTTTTGAATACTTTGATACATTTTCTTTCTCATTTTTTTCACCTTCGCATTGAGTTCTTCAAAAGTATAATGGGTTGCCTAATCAATTGTGAATCCTCAATTATTCTTATTTAAATACCGGTTTATGCTGTGTAAACGAATTCTATCCCATATGATCCATTAAAAAAATAGTACAGAGTGATAACCTTTAAATGTCACCAAAAGTATAAAAATAAGATAAGTACTTTAAAAAAATGGCTAACGTTTACAAGTACCTTAATAAATTACCCTCACATATTAGGTACATCAATATCTATATTACTTTTAAAGCAGGTAGCTCTTTTAAATAATCAAGATGTAATTTTTTTTTCTGTTTTCCTAGGTCAATTTCAACAACTGGTACCAAAAATGATGCTTGGTTATCTAAGATTTTCGTGAGAAAAATAGAGCCAACAAAGGAATCCCATAGTCGTATGTTAAGTGATAAAGAAATCATTTACTCATTGCAAACTCATAATTATAGGCCAGACTCCAAAGTTGCTTATTTACAAAATGTGTGAGTACAAAAGAATTGCTGCATAGTTTATAAGAAATAAGTGGGTAAATTCATCTCTACCCAAGCGGAAACTAAAATCAACACAAACAACATGCATATAGACCTACCAACAATTTTGATTACACTCTTTACATTTGTACTCATTATACCATAGTAATTTGAAGCTACAAAACATCTTTATAGAACTCGTTTAAAAGAGCTGAAAAGTGTAAAATCCTTTTCGCTACACCCACATGGATATTATCTTTTCTACACACAGACTAGACTATAAAATGAAAAAGTAGGCCATTACATTCTACTCACTGAATATATTTTATATCCATTCTACTAATAACACTCTGTACAGATATGAAAACCACTCCAGGCTACTATTATTTTTTTTTTAATTTTAAATAAGTGACAATTCAGTCAAACTAGGGTGCATGGCACTACTTATGGCCACTACCCTGCTTATGGCCACTTCTTGCTTTAAGACCTAAAAATAAACGTTTAGCAACATTGTAAACAAAAATGGTGGTTGGAGAAGGTAAATGAGCATGTGGTTACATGATTAGGCAGGTTTGCAACTAATAAACCAAGTCCATTGGAAATCAGTAAAATAAATAGCATGTGTTATATATGCAAGCATTACTTGTTGTTTTGGCTAAGAATTTATCTGTAAACATTGGAACAAAACTTAGATTTATTACAGATATTTTTGAAAACTTTCCATTCCAAAGGTAAGTAGATGTTAATACCCAATGTATTTTATTTTTAACATCATATTTTTTTTTTAAATAAAAATAAATATCAGTGTGGCCACTAGTAATGACAAGAAATTAAGAATTCGTGAGTTATGGCCACCTCAATTATTGTATGGGTTGTGGAAGTTATTTGGTTTGTTAACTAAGAAGATGAAATGTCACTGGCATCTGACAGCAGTGGCAGTTTCTCAGATATAGAACCAGCAGTGATTATGCAGTTAGGCAAAACATTAAAACCGGACGACTTTATATATTAGTACAATTTAAATAGCGCCTGTGGCAAAAGGAGATCGACCGTGTATAAATATGTTGTACGCTAAACTATGGAGAATGAAATAGGAATCTAGTGCGTAAAAAGCACAAAGAAAAAACTACTTTTGGATATATATTGAAAATGAGATTTCCACTGTTCCCATATCTGATGTTTTAGGACTGTTAACCGAGCATTCCCTAGTAGAACAAGGTTAAAAATTGGTTATAACATTTTTAAGAAGTGTTAAGGTACCATTTGGGAAGGCAAGACCGATACCGACTTCAAATGGCAGGCAGCAAGCAGCAAATACTATCCTACTAAAAGTGCTGTCGTTGGTCGCGCTTTCCCAAATGTGATGTGTTTCATTTAATTTCATGTGTTCAGACGTTTAAAGATCGTTTTCAGTCTCATTCACTGTCACTTTGCGCTTGAAGTCAGTCTTGGTCTCACCTTCCCAAATGTTCATGAAAAATAAATTTCATATTTTAGCAAAAATTTAATTTGTTATACCCTACCTATTCTAAATCACTACTAGGTACATACATGTAAATAAACATGCACTTAAATTAATATTTAAAAATGCAACTTAAAAATTAGTGGCCATAAACAGAAAACTAGTGGCGGACTGATGGCCGAAAATAAAGAATTTCTTTCAGTTTTATAAAAAAAATGTATAAAAGAATTACATGCTTTAAACAAAGTTCATGCATATACTGTTGAAAACTATATACTTCAACCTATCAAATAGTATTTCTATTTATTTTTTCTGTTACAATATCATTGAAAAACAGACCCCACAAAAGCATTTTTGCCTTAAGGTGGCCATAAGTAGTGCCATGATCCTAATTGTCAGTATATTTATTTTTTAACCGACTTAAAAAAGGAGGAGGTTCTCAGGATATATTTTATGTATGCTCAGCGATAATTCTTTAACACTGTGTCTGATTTCAATGATTCTTTTGATTCAGACAACTACAAAATACTAGACTAATCCATTCATTCATAATTAAGCTCTTATTTATTGCAAGCATTCAGATTGTGTTTTGTATTAGACAGAGTGAGATGGCTGTCAGTTTGAGTGGGGATAGTGTTTATTTGAGGTTCAAGTACTTTCCTGGAAATTGACTTCAAATATGATACTTGTAACTGATAATAACTGGCATTAAGAATGCAAATATACTTCCTTAATGTAATTTTGAGAACCTGTGCATTTTAGAGCCTTATAAGTCAATTCTGAATTATAACCATAAATAATCCTATTACAATTTAAAAGAGCTTTTGAAACCATTAATATTAATCTACTCCTCAAAAACTCAAATATTATGGTTTCACAGGTAGGGTGCATCCATGGTTTCAAGGCTCTCTTCTAAAGAAATATCAAAGGACTAAAATAAACAATGTATTTACTAATGAATTTCCTGTATTCTCGGGTGTACCCCAGGGCAGTGTTTTGGGGCCACTTTTAATGATTTTGTACCTCAATGATCTTAATTACATAAAAAACTGTGAATTTTTAAATGTAATTGCTAATTATACTCTTCTAGCTGCAAGTGATCAAAATTTAGAAAATGCAATTGCCAAAATAAATCAGACACTTAAAAAATATTAACGAATTTCTTAATGTAAATAAACTTAAACTTAACATCAATAAAACTGAAGCAATGATAATAACCTCACAATCAGTGGCGTAGTCACGGGTGGGGGGGGGGTCAGAACCCCCTCCAAGGAGGGTCCTCGAGTCACCATTTCTGCTATAACATTGGCACTGATCGCTATTGACTGTTTTTATTTACTTTCTTCATGGAACCCCCCCCATAGTTCAAAAACCCCTCCCATGAAAAATGGCTGGCTACGCCACTGCTCGCAATATAAATACAACCAAATTGATAAAAATCATATTAACATTGACATTGATGGAAAGAGGATTCAGTTGGTTGAATATATTAAATACTTGGGTTTTGTAGTTGATAGTTTATTAAAAGCATTTTCAATATATATAAAACAAAATATCAAAAAACATGTTTTTCCTTAGCAGAATTTATGGTCATCTTACATTTACACATAATGTTTATAAAAATCCTTCAACCTCATTTTGAATACTGCTTGAGGTCATTAGGATTGTTAGATTCTAACTGTCAACAGACATTGCAAAAATTGCAAAATATAGGGATGCAAAGTATTTTGAAAAGTAATAGGTATATACCTATTATTACAATGCTTTCCACATTAAATTGGTTGTAGGTAAAGGATAGACTATTTTTATGTTCCATGTTATTTATATATAAAATTCTATCGGGAAATACCCCAATACTTTATGAATGATGAATTTATTACATTTAATCACCAAGTACATAATTATCCCACAAGAAGACTTACGGACTTTTATGTAACTAAAACAAATTACAGTCTCACTATGAACACGATTTTTCATAATGGTTTAATTGCATTTAATATGAGAATATAAAGCAAATAATATTAGAAGGTTTAGAAAACTGTTACTAAACCATATCCAACGAAATATGTCATGAACACACCTCTGATCAATATTCTTTATTTATAAATTGTATGTATATTAGGATTACCTAGTTTATACATATCTTTCCTTCTTTAGTTGTAACTGATAATAACTGGCATTAAGAATGGAAATATACTTCCTTAATGTAATTTTGAAAGCCCTTTGTTGGTTTTAGAGCCTTATGTTAAGTTAATTATGAATTATAACCACAAACAATATGTGTAACAAGACTCTGCCATGCTCTCTCAATAATTTGACAACTACGTGGAGTTCACGGTGAATGCTTGCAATTCGATTTTTGTAAACAAAATTAGTCTAGTAGTTGTTCGTCGTTGGATTGGGATTGAAATAATTAAAAGTGAATGATTCTTATGAATAAACTAAATAATGGCATTTCCCAAGATATTCTACTATATTTACAAACAGTGTCGGATTGGGCCTTCAGTCTACCGGTCCAAAGGCCGGTAGTCCCTCATTCAGGCAGTGGGCCTTCGTTCAGGCAGTGGGCCATCATTCAGTTATGGACTCTCGTTCAGGCACTGGGCCCTTCAGAAGAACAATGAATCAAATGCAAAGAAACTCCTAAATACGTGGCAACCTCGGAAAAAGCATCGGTGTGCAAAGTTATTTTTTTTGTTGTTCTTCAATGAATCGGACCATGAAAAAAATTGAAGGAAGAAGCTTCTGAACCGGGGCTCTGGAAGTCTCAATCCGACATTGTTTACAAATAAATTATACATTTTAATATAACTGTCTAAAATCAATTTAATTATGAATATTAAAACAATATGTGTCTTAATAGAGTTGAGGTAGTGTACAGAGTTGCCATGCAAAAGGACCTGAGTTTAAGGTAGTTTACTCGCGACAGTCGTACATAAAAATATTGCATAATGGTGAATACCGAAAGTTCGAGATTCTCAATGCTAATCAATTTTATTTTTGTAAGAGACTGTACAAAACCCATGTAAGTTTATATATATGGATATGTTATAATTTCAATAAAATCCATCCGGCAACCTCGCAAATATATGAACGGTATGCTATAGATATTTGTGACTTCCTGATACTAATTTTAAGGGTTTGTTTTGGTTCATACAGAACCGCTGATTCCAGTTCTCAGATACAGTGGACGAATTAATTTTTCAAGAACAGATCACGAGGTTATAACAACCTCTTAGCTGATCGAGTATTATTTTGTTACGTGTAGTGATTACAATGTTGCCAAGTTGTAATAATTTTACGCAACTACAAGTCGACTGCTTTAAAAATATATTTATTTTAAAAATCTATATCTTTTTATTAAGACGGTCAAAAAATTCAGCGATTTTTTAGAAAATTTTATAACTTCTTGATTTACATTACATTAGTTTTTAAAAAATATGGTAAGAACCGTTTTCGAAATATCTTGAAATAAATGCATTGCTTGTGTACATGACAGGCTTCAAGAGTGTTAATTATACATATCTTAATTGTTAATGCCTATCTCGTTTCACAAACGGTCAAAAAATTTAATTTTTTTTATTTACGTAAACGACACTTTCATTAACCTTATATTTCAATTTTATTGAATTCTTAAGAAAAGCCGTTTTACGAGTGAACTACCTTAAATCTATGATTGAAGACAGACAACCTTCTGTTTATTTTATTTTATATATAAGTAAAAGTCAAATTATTTTTAAATTAGTATTAGTTTATATGCTTACAACCTCTCTTTTTTATAGAAAAAATACCTTGGACTTTATAAAAGCACAAGATTCATTAGAAAAAGACGTTGAATTAGTCGGATCATGGACAGTAAATGTTGGAGATCAAGATCAAGCTCTCCATCTTTGGAAATTTACTGGTGGTTATGAAAAAATTGATGAGTATAATGAGTTTGTAGGAAATAATAAGGTTAGTAATATTAAAGAACATTAAAGCTTTTCAGGACAGTTAGTAATGAATAATACTGATTATTTCCCTGATATAAAATATAACAAATCAGAAGGGCCAAATTTGCCCTACTTGACGTATTTAGATAATCGATTAAATGCACCAATACAGATAATTAGGTCCGTTCCAACACGCGCGAAAACCATTATATTATGGTACAAACAAGGGACAAATTGCTGCTGTGCTATGGTGTATAAGCAATCTCTACTATGTGTATTATTTGTATATTTTGTGTACTATTTGTGTATTTTGTGTATTATTTCTGTACTTCATGTAGATTTTAAAAGGAAATTAGAAAAACTAATTAAAATAACAAAACATAGTGTGACGAAAGTCTAATTTATTTAAAGTTTATTTATTTAAAAACACACTATTTACAATTTATTTCAGACGTACTATTTAATTTATATAATATTTGAACACTAACTAACAATTCTAATTTATTTCTTACACTTTTACTTTTCAATACAACGTTCTATATTAAACTAAACTCGGCGCTGATACGTCGTCTTATTATATTAGTCTAACTACGCTACTGGAAAATGCTAGAGACTTCGCGAAGATGACTAAACGGCACTCCCCCGCCATTCCAGATGTTTCGAGTGAATCAGCGGCAGACATTCGAGAGCGGTCCGGCTGTTTCCACACGTCAGCGTTGCTTCGGTCACAAGTTGATTGCGTGCGTATACAGGGTCGGCTTAGGAATTCATGACAATAGGTACTATAAAAAATTATTGATAATAACAAGAATTCTTCAAAAATCCTGTGGAAAATAATAAAAAATAATAAATTTACTAACGATCAAAATAAAATAAAAGAAATGATAAATTCTAATAATGAATTGAGAACAAATATTAAAGAAATTGCAGGTGAATTTAATAATTTTTTTATTAATGTTGATGAGAGATACACTAATGAAATTGAGCCACCTTCTAATGTACCTGAGTGTGCAAAAAATGTCAGATCATTTTCCTAGCACCTGTCATAGAACCTGAAATTATTGAATTTATAAAATCTGTGAAGTCTAAAAAAGCTGCAGGGGTTGATGGTATAAAATCTGAAATCTTAAAAAGTATTGTACCTGTTATTGCTTCTCCTCTAGTTCATTTTATTAATTAAATTTTTACAACTTTTTGGATCCCTCAAGAGTTCAAAACTGCAGTAGTAACACCAATTTATAAATAAAATAAAACCGGCCAAATGCGAGTCGGACTCGCGCATGGAGGGTTACGCATCATCAAACAATATTTAATAATATGTAGGTACTTTTTAAATACTTTATTAAGATCGACTGAAAGAAGCCAAATTTTTATTATTTATTGTTATGACGGCAACATAAATTCACAATCTGGGAAAATTTCAACTGTACCTATTATGGATCATGAGATACAGCTCGCTAACAGATAGACGGACAGCGGAGGCTTAGTAATAGGGTCCCGTTGGTTACCTTTCGGGTACGAAACCCTAAAAAGAAGAAAAAAGAAATGTTTCAAATTACCGACCAATATCAGTAATATCATGATTGGCTAAAGTTTTTGAAAAATCCCTTAAAACTCGCATTACTAAATTTCCTACAAGTAATAAAATTATATGCAACAACCAGTTTGGATTCCAAGAGGGGATCCCAACCACAGATGCTATTTCGGAACTGTTACAGGAAGTTACAAACACCCTAGAAATTAGCAAACCTACCTTGTGCGTGTTTCTGGGTCTGGCTAAGGTCTTCAATACAGCTTCTCATACGCATTTGCAGGTGGCACTGGATGATATATGAATTCGAGGTGAACCAAATAAACTCTGCAAATTATTTATTAAATAGAACTCAAACGGTAGAAATCAACATTTTAAGTGAAAGAAAATGTATTAAATTTGGTGTACCACAAGGTACTGTGTTAGGTCCTATTCTTTTTAATATTTTTCTTAACGGTATTCTTACTTATTCAAGTGCAGTTAGATTGATAAGCTTTGCAGTTGATACAGCAATTGTTTACTCCGATAATAACTGGACAAATCTAAAACAAAAATCTGAAAATGATTTAAAAAATATTCGATCTATTTAGTCATAAATTACTCACCGTAAATTCCAAAAAAAAAAAAACTTACTTTGTGCCAGTTTCTAACTATATTAGTATATTTAATATACTATATTACCTGATTATGATACATTAACAGTAGAGAGGTCAAATTCTAAAGTAAGCATTACTTCTAAAAAAAAAGAAGTTAAGTACCTTGGAATACATATAAGGTTTTTTCGTGTAAATTACACCAGTTACACCCACCTTTATTTACCTAGTTTACTTCCTCCTTATTCCTGATTCACATGTCGAGTATAATTCACTCCTGCTAAATAGCTGGTAGAGAAAATATCCACCACCGGTCACCTCATCGCCGACAGGAAGGTGTAGTGGATTTTACAACGGGCCAAACGAAAGGTGTGTTGGTGTAATTCATTCCTACACGAGTGGGACGAACGAAAGAACCTATAGATTGCTATCTTAGATTTGACAATCATATTAAAAATGTAGTTAAAGTTCTGAGGACATTACTGTACACATTTAGGTATTTTAAAAATATAGACCCTTGTCATCTCAAAACTATTTATTTTACTCTGATCGAATCTAAGTTAAGACATTCGATTCTTAATTGGAGAGGTGCTGACTTTTGTTACATAAAAAAAAAGATAGAAACGGTTCTTAAAAATAATATTTAAGAAGAAACTTATATATCCGTCCCACCCTCTTTTTTCAGAAGCTGGAATACTTGATATTAGACAGTTATTTATGCATCAAATAATTTTATTTATAAGAACCAAACATTTTCATAACTTATAAATCACCGTCACAAAATAAGATATAGAGAAAAAGGGTCCTGAAGTCCAGAAGGAACATACCAGTGGCAAATAAAAATGATAAAAAAAATTAAATTAAAATAAAAGTTATCCCTTAATAGCATAGTCGAGCGGTTCTTGGCAACTAGTTTTAAACTCTTCTAGTCCTAAGGGAATAGAAACGCCGAGGCTTCTCAAATGCTCGGAATATTTCACTGGTTTTGGTTGGAAAGGGGAGGAGAAATTAATAATAAGTATTAAAACATTAACAGATGTATATTTAAAACAAGTACAAAATTGTCTAATGAATGAATAAAATTATATTTAGGAAATAAAGCACTATTTGATAATATATCCAAATCCAGATTTATGAGAATAATAGATAAACATTTTATTGAATTATTTCTAGTTTGGACTTATTAATAACTAAAAATAGCACTAGAAACTTCAGCTATAAAATATATATAAGATGAATATAATACTCGGGACAAAAATGTAAAAATTGGCATTTATATGTAAATCAATCATCTCAAACGAAACATTTTAAAAATAAGTTAAAGATATTTACCCATAGTTCATAAATCGCTGCACAATACTTTACACATTAGTTTGTTTCGGGACTTAGGATCCCGAAAACGAGAGTTCTGGACCTCATCCTCACTCGAGACATTTTGTGTACTATTTCAGTACTATTTGCGTATTTTGGGTACTATTTACTTATTATTTCTGTACTATTGGGGACACAATGTGTACTAGTGTACTGCGGTTTACCCATCGGGCACAAATCATGAAAAAAGAATACATAAGGGCATGATTGGTACAATCATATGGTATTCGCGTATGTTGGAATAGGCCTATTATTTTTAATCAAATTTGAAATTTAAAATGGATCCGAGACTGTCCTTTGTACAGCTATCTGCACTTAGTGTACTAAGTGTGTAATGGGTCATCACAACAACATAATATTGATGATACATGCGAATAAGTGTGTATTGCATTTATTTGGACGTAATTTTTAATTTAAATTGTTTTTTTTTTATTTTAGTTTTTACTACAACCAATTTGTGTTGGGTTATTTTCGCTCTTATCTCATTTTGGATATCTTTAATGTATTTACTTTCCTGTTTGTATACATCTGTATCTGTAACGTGTGAAGGGTGGGTTACCCCCACGGCACTTAGGCCCCACTAGGCCCATAGTGAATCCTCCTAAGATGATGGGCACCTCGTAGCTCGTGAGCCAGCCTACAGATTTAATGTAGTTGACAACGTCGCCAAAAGGTGCTTCTCTTATATCGGCCGGTGTTAGCCGATACACAAATCTTCTAATAAATGAGATTGTCAAGCAATCGTATAGGATTTGCTCGATGATCTCATCTTCTTCTTCGCACCGTCTGCAGAGTGCGGATTCTGACAGTCCCATGATATGGAATTGCTTCCCTACTTGGCAATGACCAGTCAGAATGCCTGTGACTAGGCGCAGATTCTGTCTAGTCATAGTCAAGTATTTGTTTGCTGCAGTGTTGTCAGGATAACTTAAGAGCTTCCTGGTAAGTTTGCAGTTTGTTTCATCCCATCTTTCCTTGAATTTCACAAGGGAATGTTCTTAGGTCTGTCACTACCGATTTTGTCAGGCCAATAGAAGAGCCAGGTCCAAAAAGTATTTGGTTGGCTGATTTCTGGACTAGTGAATCAGCAAGACGATTACCTTTCGATGTGGCGTGACCTTTGATCCATCTTAAATTCGTGGTCTATTGAGATGAGCAGATTTCTTATAGTGATATTGTTTCTGATGATTTATTTTGCTGCAATGAGAGTCCCCGTGAGCTCGGTTTGAACTGCACTAGCACTATTGCTCACAGCCCATTTTAGGTTTAGGTTTAAGAATCTGGAGTATATTCCACATCCTGAGCCTTGTTTTATTTTAGAACTGTCGGTATAGATATGAATCGTACCTGCCACTTCCGGCTCTTGTATTTGATCTGTTATAACTTTATATGAATTATGGAAGATATATCTCGATGAGATGGAGTCCATGTTCGCTTGAAGTAGTGGGAGCAAGTCCCTGCCATTATTGAGGTCGCCGATGAGGGTGTCGAGGACCATGTTCTACAGTAGAAGTGGTAGCACCCACC